AACAGAACATTTATAAAAAGTTTTGTTGCAGTGGTTGAGAATGTCAAATTCATAGAGAAGAGCCTGTCTGGTGAAGTTATAATCTTTCAGAAATGGATTTTAATGGAAGTGTTGACACAGTGTTAGCTATACTATCATAACTACAATGCTAATATATTATTCCCTTATGGTAACAGTGTTGAAGCTGCCCTGTAATTCGGCACAGAACATTTCTATACTAATGCAATGTGACAATGTTATTATGTCTGCTATTTTCTATGCCATAATAGCAGTATTTGTTTCCACAAATGTGCCATTATATTCACTACTATCGCTATACTTAAAGACTGCCCAAGTAAAAACAGATGTAACTTACAGAAAGCAGATAATATCTTACAGATTTGTTTATTTTGCCAGAGAAATTTCCACCCCTACTCTTATTAAAAAAGTTGAATTCCCTGGAAGGATAGTTTTCACTATATAACTTGCTGTTAGAAATAGTTACGATGTTCATGATGTATTTTCTCAGAGGAGTTGCATGCAGCAAGCCATTTGTAACAACAGCCATCAAATGTCCTTTTACTACAGTCTCCTATATAACTTCATTTTGTAGGAACAACTGCTATTGGACTGCTTTACACTTATCAGTGTAACACTTCTGTCTATCACATCTAAAGAGCACTGTTGCCCTGAATATCCAAGTGTCATATCACATCAAAAGAGAAAACGATAATCTGTACAGCACCTTGGGGTCAAAACTTCCCCTGCCTGGTTGCCTAGTTTATCTTCCAGTATATAGGAAACTGCAGCACACAGAATGCTCCAACTTGTGCTACCATGGGGGGTTATGGTCTACAGGCACTTCATGCTCACTGTAGTGGAGTACTGAGATTTGCAACTAAGCAAAAGTTTTGTGGATGGACCTGTGGGTGTCCCTGACTACAGATGTAGCCTTACCCTTGGCATGTCTCAGGTCATTTCCCACAGAAGTACATTCCCTAAACTTCTCTCTAGGTGACACATAGATGATACCCTTGAACTGAGAAGGAAAACAACTGCCTCACATGGTGCTTGTTTTGAGAGAATTTTTTTTTTTTTTTTAAAAAAATCATTTTAATCTGTGCACATTTTCATCTGGAATAATACACTGAACAGCACAGGAGTAGTAATTTGCTGTTATAGGAAAGATGAAAGAAATTTCTACTGTATTAGTAGAATGTATTATAACACTTTTGAAAAAAACTATTTCTTTCATTATTTCCTCCAAAGCCTCTGTTCTGGAATGACAGAAATGATACACGTGAGACATTTTCCTTGTAAAGCCTAAGAACCACACACGTCAAATCTTTGTGCACTGAGGTTACTATGGGAAACAGGCTGAAAGTATCAGCTCAAATGTAGCAAGGTAATTTGTGCACATTTATGCAAACTGCAGATGATACAAAACTAGGAGTGGCCGATAGATACATGTGCATCTAAGCTCGAAAAGTGGGCTGACAAGAACCTTGTAAAAAAAAAGAGAAATGCCAAATCCTGCACCTGGGGAGGAACAACTCCATGCACCAGGACAGGCATAGAAAAGGTCTGGGTGTCCTGGTAGACACCAAGTTGAACACGAGTTATCAACATGCTCTCCCAATAAAGCTGGCCAACGACCTCACCAACTGCATTAGGAAAAACATTGCAGAAAGCTTGAGAGATGTGATCCTTCCCCTCTACTCAGCACTGTTGAGAGGCATCTGGAGAACTGTATCTCCTAGGGCTAGTCTCCCCGGTGAAAGAGCAACATGAGCATATTGGAGTAAGTCCAGCAAAGTGCCACAATTAAGGGCTTGAAATATCTCTCATATGAAGAGAGGCTGAGAGCCCAGGGACTGTCTAGCCTGCAGAAGAGAAGGCTCAGTGGGGATCCTATTCCACTTGATGTGTGGGAGTAAAGAAGACAAATACAAATTCTTCTCAGTGGTGTCCAGTGACAGGACAAGAAGAAATAGCACAAACTAAAATACACAAAATCTGATTTAAATACAAGGAAAATGTTTGTACTGTGAGGGTGACTAGTACAGGTTTTCCAGAGAGGCTATGGAGCCTCCACCCTTGGAGATATTCAAAACCAACTGAATGGAGACCTGGACAACCTGTACTAGCTGACTCTGCTCTGGGCAGAGGGATTGCACTAGACAATCTCCACGGGTTCCCTCTCACCTCAGCCATTTTGTCACTCTGAAATCTCTACTTAAATATGTTCCCGAAGATCTGGTGAAAAAAAATAGCAGGGAGGTGTGGTGGGTCAACCCTGACTGAGGACCAAACTCCCATCCATCTGCTCTACCACTCCTCCTTCTCTGACCTGGGTGTCCCCTCTGCTATTTCTCACTCTTTTTGTTCCCTCCTCCTCCACCTGTCCAACATTATGGTAAGAATGGCATACCGTCTAAATGTGTTTTCACAGAGGTGCCACCAGCTTGGGTGAGGGGCTCAGCTGTGCCCTGTCATGGGTGTGTTGGAGCTGGTCATGCCTCGCATGGGGCAATGCCAGCCTCCCCACACTGAAGCTGCCCTGCAGCCCCCTGCTGCCAACACCTGGAAATGGACATCCAACATGAAAGGGACGCAAATCTCCCTAAACTAGGTACTTTTAACCATTTCTCTTGTAACCACTGACAATGATTTTTTAAGTGGTCACTTTTGGGGTTTGAAAACAAACAAAAAATCTCTTCCTATGAGATTCAGATGTCTCAAATACTCCAAGTACTACAAATACTCCAAGTACACTCAAAAGTAAAGTAAGCCAAGGGCCTGTGTGTGTAGCAGTACTGGGTTAGATGGCAGCTTTGGTCAAGCAGTGTTGCTCCATGCGTAATTCTGTGATGGAAACGTGCTCACACACACTGCTCAGGAACATGCCTACGCCCTTCTGAAGGGAATGTGTTTTTCAGCAACAAGCAGGTGCTATTCCAGATCTGTCACTGAGATAATATTTCTTTACATGAAGGGAATCTGTTGTACTTCAGTGCTGCCGAAATTTAGCCTGTGGTGAGCAGCCTATGCAAGCTGCTAAAAGCTTGTAGTAACATTTCATCATTCCTCTTCCCAAACCCAGCAGAGATCAGTCTAGGAGAATCTATATGACATTGAGATTACAACATAATTTCTTCTCCTTTCCCTCATATATGCCATTATGAAAAATCTCTCTTGTTAGATTTGCTTTGCAGACTTTTGGTACCTGAACTAATCTGAGGAGCCAAGATAAAGCCAAACTCAAACATTTACAAGACTCTGCATTCTATTACAAAACATCCATATCTAGGATAAATTTATCTTTCATGTTTGTAATAAAAGAACATAAAAAAATATTTAACTGGAAAAAAGTAAGTATTTTTGGCAACCATGTACTAGGGGTACTCCTTTATCATCATCAGAAATAGTATAGTGAGAATTATCTAATTGTGTGCAGTGTAGTCCATGATGTGACTGTACAAATGACGCTTTATAGATTGGTAAATATCTTTCTTACATATGTTCACCAAATTTATGCAATAGCTGACACTTGAAGAAATAATTCATAGAATATTCCAGGTCTAGACATCAGTTACTACTAACACAAATTTATAAACAGATGTTTTGCTTTGCTAGATATGTAATATATAATTTGTTATTCATAGTTTATAGAAGATTTCAAATATCACAGATCAGAAATATCAACTTAGAAGTAAAATAGAAACAAAAAAATTTCTCCTATAGCAGATAGGGGACTGACAAATAAAAATACATGTTTAGCAGTATGATTAATCACTCACATTTCTGGGAATGACAAACTCATACACCTAAAGTAAAACCCAACCTTTGTTCAAATTATCAAAAGATCTTTGATATCGCATTTCATTTCTACCATAACAGCAACTGCAGAGAAACACAGATGAATCTGTTCTGTAGTTTCAAAACATGGCTGAGAATAAAAAAGTGGAACTTCCATGTGGAAGATTAAGGTAGTTATTACAAATAATTAATGTTCTACCCTTGTGCTAGACAATCTGAGCCAAAAGCCTTTCAGATTACTATTATTCTGTTATTTTAGGGTTTGTTCAAGAAGGTATATGTTGCCGTAGAGTGAAGAACCAGAACAAGTCATAAAAATCAAAAATGCTTGACTAGACAGTTACACCAACACTTCCTACCATCAATCATTCATTGAGATAAATGAACACAAATAGAAATAAAAATGCTTAGCCTTAAAAAATTTCCCTATTCATATGGATATAAAAATGTGCAATATTTCGATATTTCAAATGTGATGAAAACTCAGTGGCTCATTTTAATCAGTTATCGTGGATCGTTATGGCTCTTGCATTCCTATTCCACTTTCACTTCTGTATAGTTCTATTTAGATCAATAAGGCTAGATTGGAATAAAACTAGATTATGACACTGGTGAATCAGGTCCCTTATTTTTGACATTTTTGAGCTTTTCCTGAAAGACCAGATGGTTGCTGTAGGTTATGTAGTTTTATTCAGATGAAATTTAAAAGAACTAAAATACCCACCATGCTTTTATTATTGGCATGCTTAGTGTGTCACCTAGAGAAATCTACAAAGGGAGATAATGAGCCTTGTCAACTATTTCACAGTAATTATAGCCCTCATGATATAATGCTATAAAATTACAATATAGCTTAAGATAATAAAATGTAAAAGGCTTTTTCAGTCAGAAAAAAACCCACCCACTATTTGTAACATTTATGCAGGAAAGGGATTATTTCAAACAGGCAACCATCAGTATATTAGACATGCAATCAAGTGTAATAAATCCAAATTCTGTCAGTGTTTGATACCACACATTGTCCAAAATTTATACTGTACATTTCAGCTATGTTCTTCCCATAAGCCTTACAGATTTTTTCACAGGGTTTTTCAGTTCATTTAAATACACAACATCAAAATAATATAAAGCTTCAGACATTCGCTTCAAACATTGCCTCAAAGCTCTCGAGCGGCCAGATCAGCATTTGTTAGTGTACTTACGGTCGTTGCATAATGGTCCACTAAAGGAGGTCATACTACAGTCACAACTGAATCCATCCCACTGCTGTAAACACACTCCCTGGTTTGCACACGAATCCTCTTGGCACGTTGTGCTGGGGCCTGGTGAGAACATATAAACAAGGACTTGCACTTTGTCTTCCAAAGAAAGTTATTTCTCACTGGGTCACATTGACTAGCTGCCAGCATCTCAAAACCAAACGAGCAAAGAGTTACCAAGTGAAACGCACATATTAACATAATATTAAAAAGGTGGGTTTGCTTTAGTTTTAAGGTTGACATGTCAAACACGTAAGAATGCACAAACTGAAGTAGAGTTATTCCAGGTACAGTGGGAATATTAATTTTGTTGCAAGTTATTTGTTAATCTCGTGTCAGACCATTAACTGGCTAAATGTTTTCTAAAAACTTTGTTATTTTTTGCCTGTAAATACATTCCAAACAGCAAATCCAGATGCCACAGAAATCAAAGCTCTAGGAGACAAAAGTAAAGATTGGGAAATAAAATTAAAACCAAAACGAAAACCCCCAAAACTAAAATAAAATGGAGCTACATTATAAAAAGCTTTTAATCCCACAAATTATTTTAAATGATTTAGGTTTGAAATTAAAGGGATTTTGGGATTTTTTGGCAGGAATGTTGACAAGTACTAATTCACATGCTTCAGGGATCCCATGCAGGTTCCTTTCTTAAGGGGAAATGCAGAAAATCAGACTGAACTGGCATGCCAAAATATGACATACGCATGAAAAACAAAGCTACTCTATTTCTAAAGAATCATAACTAGACTACTGAAATATAAAAAAATTTGAAAAGGAATGATCAAAGAACTAAAGCAATCACTATACAAACATATTCAAGACTGAAAGCCTTTATGCAAGCTATGCTGGAAAACAAAGGTTCACGTAGTTCGTTGTTTTAAGGGTGTGAAAGAAAATCCGAAACAAAATATCATGCTTTAGTTCCGAAATGTACAGAGCATTTATTGCAGAAATCCAACTGTGCATTAGGGGTTTCAGTCTTGTTTAATACACACAGGGCTATCTACCTTGCAAATCAGCTTTCATCAATGCAACTTTGTCAGCAAAATAAAAAAGCAAAATATAGTAAATGTTAGTAAGCAATATTGAAATGGCAGCAAACACAGAAAAAAACCATTCAGAGTAAAGTGCATGCTGCTGTTAAAGAGAGAAAGAAATGCCATCTAATGCAAACAAATTAATGCTAATAGCCATAAATCTTCAGGCAAGCCAAAATAAGAAAGCAGTAATTTGCCAGTATTTTACTACAAATATAATGGTTAATTGAGCTGATGACATGTAATGAAGGAAAATTAAAAGTGTTTTTTTCTTTCTTCCTTGGATAGATATGAATGCATTAGCAGAGTGAATGCATGGCTGAATCCTGACTAGCCATTTGTCATGTTCAGATACACTGAATTCAAGAATAATTAGCACCGTCATCCCCTTGTGGTCTTTCTCTTTCCTAGCCCTTTCTTCGTGACTGCTGAATGAAGACTGAAACACAGACCATGAACTACAGATTACTATGAGCTCACGCACAGTTCACATTGACTCTTGACACTACAAGGAAATATTTGGTTCTGGAATCCTAAAATTGCCCTAAATTTTTTGTAGGAGACACTTCAATATCCATTTGAAACTCCCAATGCACATCAGTGATGACAGGGCAAAAGTGGTCCAAAGATTATATAAATATCCTAAATCATCCTGTAGAGAGAAATCCACTTAACTCTTCTTTCACTTTACAGCTCCTTCAAACATCTCAGCATGGAATTTTCTTTTGATTTGCCAGTATTTTAGAAAAAAATGTAACAATATGATTTAAGTCTGTTCAATGGCCTCTGGCTTTAAATGAGGCACTGCTCGAGCAAATCTCTGAACCAGGGCCTGAACAGTCACCAGGACAATGTAGAATGAGGAAACTCTACACTGCATCCCTCAAGACTAGTAACTATTCTATTTTCTCCTCCTCTAATATTATTAAGAATAATAAGAAAAATAAGAATAATAATGATAATATGACCACCATTATCTAGAATTGATTTACTGTAATAGGCAGACATAGGATAGTGATTTCTTTCTCTTCAGAGTTTTGAGCCCAGAAGTTTAAACATTTGGGCATTACATCATCCTTTCTTGAGCAAGAGATTATAATGACAGAATCCTTTAGCTGACAAGACAAGACACATTTTTTTTCTCACCAGATTCTGCTACTCGGAAACTTTACAAAGATGAAGTGAAAATATCTGTAGGTGTTTAAATGTTATATATTCATGCATTTATTTACACTTTAGTTATGCAATGTTAAATTTCTTCATCTTTGCAAAAGTAGAGCAAAAGTCACAAGGACTTAAAAGTACATAAACTTCAGGACCCTGTAGGCGCATTAAAAAGAGCATGTTAAAACACATGTATTTGGAAAAAAACCCACAGATATGATCTTGTTAAAAAGCAGAGTATTTTGCTTTTTACGAAGTCAATTCTTAGCACTTGTGGCTTATCTACAGTAGTTATTACTCAAAAATTGCCATCAAGACTAGCTTACATGTAAGAATTTCTTTTATTAAAAAGTAGGCCACTTTTAGTTAAAGAACAAATGAAGACTGTTTAATGTCAGTAAACACATAATATCTAACACAATAGGTTCATACTTTTCTATATATATTAGAAAACTAAGAATATTAGTAAGAATACTGTAAGACACTTTTTAAGCACTCATCTTTTGATTCACATTCAATTTAAATATTCTAATTAATTCAGTCTTCACTGTAGACTTTTTAATTGACTGGATTTAGTCTCATTTACATTTGTCTTATGTGAGGGCTTACATGCTACATATTACATAAAAAGCATTATTAAGTGGCATCCATGATGTTTTGCTATAGATTCAAAAATCAAGTTCCACATTTCACTTCGAAGAAACTTTACTTACATTAATACTTTGAAACTTTTCATATACTTCATTTAATACACAAATTATATCTGCACATGCACACACACAGTGCATTTTCGTTCCAAATATATTAAAACTATTCAGCTCTATATATTATATTACATTATATTATCTTACACTATGTTATGTTATGTCATATTATATCATATTATATTATATCATATCGTATATATTTAATTCTGTTTTAATTAAAATATGTAGAGAAAGTACAATGGATTTGACTAGAGAAAAATGTAGCTGACGCTTACAACCTGGCTCTGAGGTTTGCTATCAACAATTTGAAGAGTTAGTTAGCATATTTATGTTTCTAGCTGTTAGATTCTATCTAGTCTAGCCATTGAAAATTTGTCAACAAGGTGAATTTAGCCAAGTGTAAATTATATTCAATGCTCAATGATAAAGAACAGAGATATCTATCTGCCTCTGGCTGAAACTTCAAAATGCAAGCCTTACAACCTGACACACCAATCCTGTATGTGTGGGTTTGCAAAAAAAAAAAAAAGTTTCAAAGATAGAATTTTTAAGCTGCACTTATGATAACAAAATATCAATATTTTAAGATCAAAATCCTAACATAAAATTAATTAGTAGTGCATCATGGCTTCACAGTGTGAAGGAAGAGAGAAAAAGGTGTTTCACACCAGCTGGTTTGGGTTTTTTAATATAGAAAGGTGGGGAATTCCATTCCATAATAGTCCAAGAACACCAAATCCAAGTGCCTCACTTCTCTGGCAAGACTTTGCAGCAGTCTGATGTCTTAACAAAGGACCTATACCCACCAGTACAGTCTTTTGGATTGAGAGCGGTGCTGGCTAATATTTATTGTTGTGAAATTACTTCTGCTGCTGTTTGGGCTCAACATCTCAGGGGGCTCACAGACTTCATGCATCCCATAGCCATGTGAGATGCAAAACTGCTTCGCCCCATAAGGGTGGAGACAGTCTTGCCCATTACACAGCATCAGAGCTACGGGCAGCACGAGGCATACAGGGGACTTCTGAGAGGCAGCTAAATTTGCAAGTGACTTAATTCCTATTTTAGGTATCAGAACACTTGTTTTGTACACCTGATCCGCGGCTGGTAGACAAGAGACTGACAGAGGGGTCAGACAGGAAGACTTGAAGCAAACAAATGAGATGGAAGAGTTAACTTGCAAAGATTAAGCACAAAGGTTGGAAGGGAATATTTTATTCCATGCTGTTAAAGGATTTCCTTCTGTGGGCAAAAGACTTCTAATGAGACAGTTCTCTGGAAGTCAGCCTGCACATTTGGTTTGACCACTTTATTTGCCAGATGGTTTTGGTGTTAAAAAAAGCTGACTTTGCACTAAAAAGGACAATATTTGTACAGCCTTTATTAAATTGTTAGTAGTTTTATTAAACTCACTAATAGCTGAGTTGTGCCACTGGTTTAAAAGATGAACTCACACTCTAGACTGTAGCAATATTTCTTTGAAGTACATAAAATTCGTTTAGAAAATTGCATAATTTCAAAAGAAGCTAGGAAATGCATAATGGAATTAAGGTGTACTTTGACTCTCCGATGGGATGGTGTAGGCATGGAACTTGCTAAGATCTTTCAGAAAGCAGATTCTAATTTTCTAAATTTAGTGGCAAACTATATGCATTTTGTCATTCCCGACAGAAATAGACACTAAACGTACAGAAAAATAAGCTGTGAATTTTGTATGTTTCTATGTGCTATTGGTAGAAGTTCTACTGTTAAATAAATGCAATACGTAAAGAACAAAAAAGTTCCACCTGTACAAACATACTGTAGGTATAACAAAAGAGGAGACAAAATTTATTCACAAGAAAGCTTTATCTCATGAAGCTTGAGGAAACCCCCAGCTCTGCTTTGATTTTTTACAATGTCTATTTGCAAAACTAACAAGATTGACAGCAAAATCGTCAATATTCCAACTTGAAATTCTGTCGTGTCATCTACACATTTTGCTGTCCAGAGAAGAAGGGCACTTGAGAGACAGGAGAACACATAAAACTGAACAGACATAAAATTCAGAATTATGTGAATAAATATATATGCAGGGACAGAGACTTGCTTTAAATTATTCCATAAATCATAGTAAAAATAACGTGGGATTAAATGACAGCTGGAAAAATAGCTAGAGATTGACAGCGCTGTATTACAAATTTACCTCTTCTAATTCTGTCCTCACTTAAATTCCATGATATTCCAGATGAGTCAATAAAGACATAGAAAATGCAAGATAAAACATATTTGACTGTTACCGATTTCAGATAGGAAGGCTCATGACAATACAAATCTCAGGGGTGAGTAAAAATAGAGAAGATGGATCTTAAATAGTTTCATAAATTAGCCTTGAATTAATCAACTAAAAATGTCTGCTTTAAAAATGGAATTACTTAGCTAATGTCTCAGCATTAGCTAATACCTAAGTGTTATGAAGATATAAGGGAATTCAGTGAAACTAACTGTCGTTGTTTCTATCTTTAATTAAAATACATCAGAAGTAAACAAAATACATGCAAAATATCTTGCCACTGGAGAAGGATGAAAACTACATCAAACGTTTAAGAAGTTAATTCATGTTCTCAGATCAACCTCTGTGCTGTAAGGCAGACACACGCTTGTCTTCATAACACTAAAAAAACTCAGTCTTTATATAAGAGGTCAGACTAGATCAATCAGAAGCATATTTAATACCTTCACATCCTCTTTCTATTTGCCCATTGCAGAAGAGAGCATCGGAGATTAGGTCAGGCAGCCGTCCATTCAGGTCAACTGATGCAAGACAGCCTTGGAATCCCTCCTTTGCATGCACCAGTTTTGGCAAGGACTTAAACATTTCTTTGGCCACTCCTCCAATATACAAATCACCTGTTAATGAGAAATAAGTGTTAGATACAGGAGAAAAAACCCTGTGGAATCTGTAACCTGCTTGACTCCTCCAGCCTTTTTGTGCTGAATCATAGAATGACAGGTATCTCAGAACAAAAGAAACATTATTCAAAATAAACATAGAAGAAAACACTGATAGCTTATATGATGTGAAAAGACATTGCAGGACTATATTGTTTCAAAGGCGTATGCAGACTTCGCATTTGTATGGCTAATTACTTAGAAGTACGTGCGCGTTGTTATTTATGGGCCAGCTTATGTATACAGGAAGCATACAACTATTTCATAGAATCTCCATCTAGAAACACATGTAAAACTGATGCATGTTATTAGCATAATCAGCAAACCTAACCACAGACAACCTCTGATTATGGATCCTGCACACTGAGATAAAAAAAGACTGGAGGTTGGCCAGTGTGACACCCATCCATAAGAAGGGCCAGCAGGAGGATCCAGGGAACGACAGAGCTGTCAGCCTGACCTCGGTGCCTGGCAAGGTTATGGGGCAGATCATCCTGAGTGCCATCAATGGGCACGTGGAAGACAACCAGGGGATCAGGCCCAGCCAACATGGGTTTAGGAAAAAAGGTCCTGCCTGACTAATCTCATCTCCTTCTATGACTGCGTGACCGGTCTAGTGGATGAGGGGAAGGCTGTGGATGTGGTCTACCTCAACTTCAGCAAAGCATTTGACACACTCCTGGAAAAGCTGGCAGCCTATGGCTTGGACGGATGCACCCTTCACTGGATTAAAAACTGGTTGGGTGACGGGGTCCAGAGAGTGGTGGTGAATGGTGCTGCATCCAGTTGGTGTCTAGTGACCAGAGGTGTCCCCCAAGGATCAGTGCTGGGCCCAGTCCTGTTCAACATCTTTATTGACGACCTGGATGAGGAGACTGAGTCCACCCTAGGTTTGCAGATGACACCAAGCTGGGGGGGAGTGTCGATCTGCCAGAGGGTAGGAAGATGCTGCAGAGGAACTTGGACAGGCTGGGAAGATGGGTCAAGGTCAACGGGATGAAGTTCAACCAGACCAAGTGCAGGGTCCTACACCTTGGCCAAAATAACCCCCTGCAGCGCTGCCGACTGGGGGAGGAGTGGCTGGGGAGCAGCCCCGCAGAGAGGGACCTGGGAGTACTGGTTGACACCTGGTTGAACATGAGCCAGCAATGTGCCCAGCTGGCCCGGAAGGCCAATGGCATCCTGGCTTGTATCAGGAACAGTGTGGCCAGCAGCAGCAGGGATGTGATTCTGCCCCTGTGCTCAGCACTGGTGAGGCCTCACCTCGAGCCCTGTGTGCAGGGCTGGGGCGTC